CAAAAAAAGGGACTTGCCTTATAAGTCTCTTAAGTCTCAAACATCTGGGACCATAGCTTATAGGAATGAGAAAAATGAAGCAGAAAAAGGATGTTGTTCGAATTTGGTTATATTTTCACATAAAATTTTTACTCTTTTTTTTAAATAATAGATTTATTTTGAACTTTTATTTTATGATTAAAAATTTAAAATAATTTTTATCTTTACTTATTTTATTCTTAAAAAAATAAAAATAAGTTAGGCAAGGCAACATACCATTAGAACCGCCGTTTGTTCATTGTTTTGTGCTGCATAATATTATATTTTTTTCTATTCAAATAATTTTTTTCTATTCTTTGAAAAGTATGCTACCTAGTTAGCGATATTACTTTCACAGCTTTGTAACGAACGAATGAAATCAGTATAAATTCACTATAGAGCTATTTCAAATACTTGCAATGAATTTAACTGTCTTATGTCTCTTATCTCCCTTTACTCAACCATGAAGAAGGCATATTTCCTTTTGCAGTTCTCTATTGTCTTATTTCTTCTTCTCCTTTCCTTCCAAGCTTATCCAACAACTGCCCTTTCTTCAGTGAATGAAACTGATAAGCTTGCTCTGTTGGCCATCAAAGGTCGAATTACTCAAGATATCCATGGGATAATGAATTCATGGAACGAATCTTTTCATTTCTGTGATTGGATAGGAGTCACATGCAGCCGCCGACACAAAGGAAGAGTAACTCTCTTGAGTTTAGAGAGGCGTGGCCTGATTGGTTCCATCCCTCCCCAAATAGGGAACCTTTCCTTTCTAAGGGGAATCAACCTTGCAGAGAATAGCTTTCAGGGCGAGATTCCTCAAGAAATTGGCCATTTATCTCGACTGAGATTTCTTAATCTAAGCAACAATGCTTTACAAGGGGAAATTCCAGGTAATCTAAGCTTTTGTTCAGGTCTTGCAGTTTTGAACATGTCTAACAACATGCTTGTAGGCAAAATCCCAAATAGCTTGGAAACCTTGGGGATGAAGAAGCTAAATACCCTCTTTCTCAACTCTAATGAGCTGATAGGAACTATCCCAAAATGGCTAGGAAATGCTTCTTCACTCGCTCAGTTGTCATTAATAAGTAACAGACTACATGGAAGCATCCCTGTTCAGCTCGTAAAACTCCAAAATCTTTCATATTTAGGAGTTAGTTCTAACTATTTATCTGGTATCGTTCCTCCTGCTATTTACAATCTGTCCTCACTCATTTTTCTTCACTTAGCACACAACCAATTTCATGGGCAAATACCCAATGATATAGGCTTAACACTTCCAAATCTTCAAGATATTGTTTGTGGAGGTAACTACTTCACTGGGCAGCTTCCAGTTTCATTGTTGAATGCTTCACAACTGAAAGAAATTGCATTTGAATTCAACAGTTTCAGTGGACCTGTGCCTCCAAATCTAGGAAGATTGAATGAGCTAGAAGTGTTGCTTCTTGAAAGAAATCAATTAGAAAATATGGAGGGAGATGACTTCAGTTTCTTAGCTTCTTTGACTAATTGCAGCAAACTCTCCGACCTGGAATTCAGTCGAAATCATTTTAAAGGTCATTTGCCTACTTCAATTGCTAATCTTTCAAGCAGGCTTAAATTTCTGTCCATACATAATAATCAGATTTCAGGTAGACTACCAGATGGGATTGGCAACTTGATTGGCCTCACATCATTGAGTTTGGGTGAGAACTTTCTCACAGGTGAAATTCCAAACAGTATTGGCAGACTAGAAAAGTTGAATGGACTTTGGTCGAATGATAACCAACTTTCAGGTACAATTCCCTCCTCAATTGGAAACCTCACCCAATTGCTTTATTTGTATCTTGATGGAAATAATTTAGAAGGTGAAATACCTCTTAATTTGGGAAATTGTAGACATCTTTTAGTAGTCAACCTATCTTATAACAACATTACTGGTTCCATACCAAAAGAAGTTATAACTTCTACTATCACATTGTTGGATTTCGCAAGAAATTTCTTACTTGGGTTACTTCCTCTAGAGCTGGGAAATATGACCAATCTAATTAGTTTGGACCTTTCCAACAATAGATTATCTGGAGAAATTCCAAGTACTCTAGGAAATTGTCCTATGATGGAATACCTGTATATGCAGGATAACTTATTTGTGGGTAGCATCCCATCCTCCTTAAGTGCTTTGAAAAGCCTTCATTACCTTGACCTTTCAAGAAATAATTTGTCTGGACAAATTCCAAAATACTTCCAAAATCTTACTTTGCTGCATTATTTGAATTTGTCTTTCAACGAATTTGAAGGAGAGGTTCCATATGAAGGGGTCTTTGGAAATGCAAGTGCAGTTTCAGTTGTTGGAAACCAACACCTCTGTGGAGGCATTCAGAAGCTCAGATTCCCTCCATGTAAGGTCCAAACTAGCCTAAAGAAGAACAAATGGTCTCACAATCTTAAAATTGTGATTCCAATTGTTTCTTGCTCAATCTTATTAGCAGTGCTTCTGTTTCTGATTTTTTTTACTTGGACAAGGACATCTAAGAGGAAAGCCTCTTCCATGTTGCAAACACAAGAACCATTTCCAAAGATTTCTTTTGCAGAGTTAAGTCAAGCAACTAATGACTTCTCATCAGCCAACTTGATTGGCAAAGGAAGTTTTGGTTCTGTTTATAAAGGAATCATGGGTGAAAATGGAATGCTAGTTGCAGTGAAAGTGTTGAACCTTGAGCAGAAAGGAGCATCCAAGAGTTTTGTGGCTGAGTGTGAAGCTATGAGAAACATTCGTCATCGAAATCTGATCAAAGTTTTGACTGTCTGTTCTAGCATAGACTTTAAAGGGGTCGATTTCAAGGCTATAGTGTATGAGTTCATGCAAAATGGAAACCTAGATGAGTGGCTGCATTCAAATGAAGTCCACGTGGGAGTTCGGAATTTCAGTTTCATCAAGAGACTGAACGTAGTGATTGAAGTTGCACATGCAATTGAGTATCTGCATTACCACTGCCAACCAGCAATTGTTCATGGTGATCTCAAGCCAAGCAATATTCTACTTGATCATGAAATGGTTGCTCATGTGGGTGATTTTGGACTCGCAAGATTCCTTATTTCCTCAAAGAAAACAATCTCACTTGGAACAATAGGGACCATTGGCTATGTTGCTCCAGGTAATATTAGTTTTACCTTGACTTTTGTAGTGAAAGTTATAGTTTAGCATCTAGGTGCCAACTAACATGATGAATTGATCTCATGTTTCCTTGCTTTCGCCGCTAACCATTTCATTCAGAATATGGAATGGGCGGAAAGGCATCTATGGCAGGTGATGTGTTCAGCTTCGGAATTCTCTTATTGGAGATGATTACAGGGAAGCGACCAACTGATGCAATATTCAAAGATGGCCTGAACCTTCACCAATTTGCCAAACTAGCATTGCCAGAACGCGTGATGGACATTGTTGATCCTTCGTTGCTGCAAGAACTTCGAAGTACGAATGAAAATGTTGGGGATGCCCGAAGAAATAAAAGAGAAAGAAGAGTCAGTATCAAGGAGATCCTCATTACCTTTTCAAGAATAGGGATTCTCTGCTCAATGAATTCTTCGAATGATCGAATGGAGATGAATGATGTGGTTGCAGAATTATGTATTATCAGAGATAAGTTTCTTGGTAATCATTCATAGATTCTAATGAAGGAATCAAAGCAAGCTCTCTTTTTTGGAAAACCTTCATTTACGTCAATTCTTTTAGCTATTCTGCTGTGTCTGGTGTGATATATTTTTACTGGAATGTTGGTACCAAACTTTAAGATTTCTACTTGTGTGGGTTGCAAGCTGGGTTCAACTGATGATGAATGCAAAGCAGAAGATTGCACTCAACTGTTTGTTCTTTTCCTTTTCTAGTATTTGCAGTTTTTCCTATCATGTACTCTACCATATCTAGCCAACTCTTTGCCATTTCCTTCTCACAGAACTTCCATGTAAGAGTGCTGCTTTTTAAAATTAATTCAATAGAAAATTTCTACTAGAAGCAACAGCTTCTTTGTCACTTTCTTTCTCTGTCTCTCTTTCCTAGGATCAAAGTTTTCACCTGCCTGATTCTTTATTTCATTTCCTGTTATAGAAATTTCACTTAGATATTTTAAATTTGGAACTTAAAATTTGAAGCCTTGTAAAAATTTATAATTTTACTGAATAAATTGAATTCTTTTATGAGTTTAAGTTTATAGAATTTGATTGCCATTTTTATTCATTATTCTATTATTTTACCTATCAATGTTATATTTATAATACTATATAAAACTATAAAATTATAATTATAACATATTAATAAATAAGGTAATACATATAATATTAATAACATATCATTATTA